TTTGCCAGTCTGTGTCTTTTGATTGGGGCATTTAGGCCATTTACATTCAATGTTAATATTGTTATGTTTGAATTTGGTTCTGCCATTTTGTTATTGGCTGGTTGTTTGCCCATTAGTTGACGTGGTTTCTTCACTGTATCCTTGTTCTTTACCATTTGGTAGGTTTTTGCAGTGGCTGGTACTGGTTGTTCCTTTCCCTGTTTAGCACTTCCTTCAGTAGCTCTTGTAAGGCAGGTCTCGTAGGGACAAACTTTCTCAGCAATTGCTTGTCCATAAAGGATTTTATTTCTCCTTCACTTATGAAGCTCAGTTTGGCTGGATATGAAATTCTGGATTGAAATTTCTTTTCTTCAAGGATGTTGAATATTGGCTCCCACTCCCTTTTAGCTTGTAGGGTTTCTGCTGAGATATCTGCTGTGAGTCTGATGGTCTTTCCTTTGTGGGTGACTTGACCTTTCTTTCTGGCTGCCCTTAGGATTTTTTCCTTCATTTCAACCCTGGTGAATTTGACAATTATGTGCCTTGAGGTTGCTCTTTTTGAGGAATATCTTTGTGGTGTTCTCTGTATTTCCTGGATTTGAATGTTGGCCTGCTTTGTTAGGTTGAGGAAGTTCTCTTGGATAATATCTTGAAGAGTGTTTTCCAACGTGGATTTGTTCTCCCTGTCACATTCAGGTATGCCAATCAGGCATAGATTAGGTCTTTTCACATAATCTCATAGTTCTTGGAGGCTTTCTTCATTTATTTTCACTCTTCTGTCTCTAATCTTTCCTTCTCCTTTTATTTCATTGATTTGATCTTCTATCTCTTATATCCTTTCCTCTGCCTGATCGACTTGGCTGGTGAAACTTGTGCATGCCTCGTGAAGTTCTCGTGCTGTGTTTTTCAGCTCCATCAAGTGGTTTATGTTCTTCTCTAAGCTGGTTATTCTAGTTATCACTTCATCTAACCTTTTTTCAAGTTCTCAGTTTCTTTGCATTGGGTTAGAACATGGTCTTTTAACTCAGAGAAGTTTGTTATTACCCACCTCCTGAAGCCTGCTTCTGTCAATTCATCAAATTTATTCTCTGTCTTTTTTTTGTTCCCTTGATGGTGAGGAGCTGTGATCCCTGGGAGGAGAAGAGGTGTTCTGGTATTTAATGATGTCATCCTTTTTCACTGTTTTTTTCCCATCTTCATGGATTTATCTCCCTGTGAGCTTTGAAGCTGGTGATTTCGGGAGGAATCTCTTGAGTGCATATCCTTTCTGTTGCAGTTGGAGCTATATCTTTTTTTGGCCTGTAGAGGGCATTGCTGGGCTCTCTCGGATTCAGTCACATTGCTGGGTGGGTGGTCCTTCCCTGGCATTTGTTTGCAGGTAAGATTGGCCCTCCCTTCTCAATGGCGTCTCTCCTTTCCCAAACTCGATCTTCCTGGTTGGGATCAAACTGGTGTATTTGCTACCAAATTCTCTAGCTAGGGCTTCAGTTTGAGTTCTGTGGGGGTGGGGCCTACCGGCCTTATGGCCTGTTTCCCTGCTTTCAACTCTGCGTCTTTCTGTGGGACAGTCCAGCCGGCTGGCATTAGTCCAAACTTCTGCCCAGGCCCTTGCGACAACTTGCCACAGAGAGCCAGAGCTCAGATTTGCATGGACAACTGACAGTACCCCTCAGTCTGGCAGGACTCTCATGGACCGTGGGTTGCAGGAGGGATGAGGTAAGCACAAGATCCAAATCAGAGCACTGAGAGGGTGAAGTCCCCCAAACCTCCGAGCCGGCTGCACCTTCCAGGTCGGGTCGCACCCTGCCCTGTCTTGGTTTACCGCCCTGAGAGGCTCTTGCCCTGTGGCTCACTCCCTGGGCTATTATTTTCAGTGCCCTATCAGGCCCACCAAAATGAACCCAGCACCTCGTTTGGAATTGCGAAATCCTCTAGCCCTCTGCCTCTCATTTGCTGGGAGCTGCATTCCAGTGTTGCTGTCTCTCGGCCATCTTGGCACCGTCCCCTTCCTCAAAATGTTAAATAGAATTTATGGCCCAGCAATTCCACTCCTAGGTCTATATACCCAAGAAATTTAACAGGCACTCATACAAATACTTATACATTATCAATTTCAGTACTTTTCACAATAGCAACAGGTAAAAACAACCCATATGACCATAAACAGATAGATAAACAAATTTTGGTATATCCATACAATGGAGCATTATTAAGCCACAAAAGGGAGCAAAGTATTGATACATGCTACAATATGCATTTACCTTGTAAATAATACACTTCTTTTATGCTTAGTAAAAGAAGCCAAACTCAAAAAGTTACATATTGTAAGATTCCATTTCTATGAAATATCTGAAGTAGGCAAATCCATAGGAACAGAAAACTGAGAGGAGAGAGGAACGGTGAGTGACTGCTAATGAACATGCAGGTTTTTTTTTTTTTTTTGATTAATTAAAATATTACAGAATTAGATATTAATGACTGTTGGCCAAATGTGTGAATATATTATATATTTTAAGAACTACGGAATGTATAACCAAAAGGGTAAATGCTATGATGTATAAATTATATCTCAATTTCATAATGAAAAGAATTATTAAATATAGGCATCTGCAAAATTTTTGTTTCTTTTTCCTACAATATTCTTATCTTTTAGTTTTAAAAATACAAGAGAAAAAGATTGCAAATTTAAACTGGCTAATTTCCAAACCCATAATTGTAAACAATCTGAATTTACAGAAGGATGCAATTTCAACAGTGAATTTAATTTTCTGGAAAAGAGAAAAAATTTAGGAGAGTAAAAAGATGTTCACAAAATAGAAAAAGCAACCTCCATATCTTAAAGAAAAAAGATAAGCTACATTTTATAGATTTTGAATATGAAAAATGCAGGTTTTGAATATTCTTGATTTGAGAAATAACTAATTAATAAAAATTTATTTTTTTGTTAATTTTTTTTAGAGACAGTCTTGTTCTATTGCCCAGGATGAAGTGCAATGCCACCACATGCCTCACTGCAGTCTTGAACTCCCTGGCCCTACCTGGGACTATAGGTATTCAAAACTACACATCTAATTTTTTTAATTTATTTTTTTTCTAGAACTTGCTTGCAGGACAAAATACAAATTTTAAAAATATATTTTTTTGTAGAAACAGGGTCTCCCTTTGTTGCCCAGGGTGGTCTCAAACTCCTGGGCCCAAGTGATGCTCCTGCCTCTGCTTCCCAAAGCACTGAGATTGCAGGTGTGAGCCACAGTGCCTGGCCTTAACAGAAATTTCTGAAACATTAAAAGATGCTTCCTAAACCAGTCACAGAATTATTAATCAAATTAATCTCATTGAAGGCTTTTAGATTAAGGCTTTTCAAAGGTAGTTTGGTGGACAGGGCGCTAGGGTATAGGGAGTGCTGATTGGTTGGGTTGGAGACAAAATCACAGGGAGCGGAAGCTGTCCTCTTGCTCTGCGTCCCTTCTGAATGGGGCCACAGGAGTGGTTGGCAGATCCAGGTGGAGCCACTGGTCGTCAGACATGCCAAAAATCCTGAAAAAATATCTCAAAAGGCCAAACTTAGGTTTTACAATAGTGATGTTCTCTTCAGGAATAATTGGGAAAGTTGCATATCTTGTTACCTCCAGAATAATGACTGGTTTATGTCTACACCTTCATAGAATTCTGGCACCTCTGTCCTAGCCTGGTGTTCTCTCATTAGCTTTACAAAAGTTATCTTGACTTAAGCCCAGTAATAATTAAGGCCAGCTAAAGGCAAAGTGGAGGTTGGTTAAATCAGATCTCTTTCACTGCCATAATTTTCTCATGGCTATAATTTTTTGCCAAGGTGGTTCATTTTGACTTTCATCTAATTATTGAGTCTGATATCATAAATATATTAAACGTTAGTGATTCCTGACAGCATGATGATCATCAATGTCTTGGTCCTTGAATGCCAGTGAAACTATATAATGCTTCAGGCTTGTTGGTGTCACTGAGAGAGGAGAAAGGTAGAAACCAGTCAGGCAGGTGGTTAGGGCGAGTCTTTGGTTGAATTCTTTCAAACAAAAGAACAGCCTGCAGGCACAGATAAGGAAACTGTGGAGGGCTTGCCTATGATGTGCCCACATTTGCACAGATAAGAAAGGCTACACAGATGACTTGCCTAGACATGCCCACAATGGAAAATTCCATCTTCTGACACATACACAGTAAGGGGAACAAAGCGATATGGAGTAATTCAAGCTAAGGGCCTGCATGTGCACTAGGAGGACAGGGTGGAGCTACCAGAAATTCATGCCTTTTGCAGATGAGATGTCCAGCTATCATTAGTTTCTTTTAAAAGCCTTTGAATTCAGCTGTAAAAACAGCAACCCTCTTTTGGGCCCCCTCTTGGCAGTGGAGAGCTTTCTTCTTTCGCTTATTAAACTTTTGCTCCACCTCACCCTTTGTGTCCATGCTCCTTAATTCTCTTGATCCTGAGACAAAGAGCTCTGGGTGACGCTAGGTCCCCCAATTATGGCAGCACTATTGTAAAGCCATTATGAACTCTGTAACCCACATGTATGCCTCCAGATGGCTCCCTGGAGCCTGAAAGTGAAGCAAGAGGAAAGCCAAAAACAGTGAAGAACAACAGGTTCCTGTTCCAGCTGACTGATCAACCTACCAAGTCAACAACAACCAAACCTGAGCTATAACTTTCCACTCATGTCCCCAGACTATAAAGCCTGATCTGTCCCTCACCTCCATGCTGACTCCCTTTTCAGACTCAGCCTGCTCACACCTGAGTAAATAGTCTTCTTGCTCACACAAAGTCTGTTTAGGTTGTCTCTTCAATCGGATGTACATTTAACATTTGGTGCCAAAGCCCAAGATAGGGGAACTCCTTCAGGATATCTGTCTCCTATCCCCGCTCTCCTTCCTTGAAGAGACTACCTTGTCTTTGGTATCAGACCAGCCTGTGAAGCCCCTGCCGTTTATCTTCAAATGAGTAAGCAAACTTCGTTTCTCTCTAAACTTTTTCTCTGCTTAAATAGAGATGAAGAAGACACCTCCTATCCACGTATTAAAAAAAATCCAACATTGGTCACAGACTCTCCTTGGGAAGACAGTCTTCCCTTGGTGTCTGGTCAATAGCAGGATGCCCGCCTTGTCCTTTCACCAGTCATATGGCCCAGGACCCCAGGTGGGGACACCCACTGGGGATCCTAGTGGTTGCTCTCCTCCTCGTCTCTTTCTCCCCAACCCTCTCTGGTCTATCATGAGCAACCTTCTTCCCTCCATCCCTCCCTCTTCCCCTTTGGCCTGTGTCCTCAAGAACCTTAAACCCCTTTAGTTTTTATCTGAACTAAAACCAAAATGTCTAATTTTTTTCTGTAACATGGCCTGGCCTCAATATAAAGTAGACAATGGCTCCCACTGGCCAGAAAATGGCACTTTTGATTTCTCTATTTTGTGGAACATAAACAATTTTTGTCATAGAATGAGCAAATGGTCTGAAGTACCCTACATTCAGGCATTTTTTACACTCCAGTCTCCCCCTAATTTCTGCTCTCAGTGTAACCCACCCCAAATTTTCCTTCTCTCCCTTCCATCCATACCTCCTGCCTCTGCCAATGACACAGAATCCTCCTTGTCCATTGACCCTTCCGACCTTTCTCCTCCCTGCCTGTCTGAACAAGGCCCTAATCCCCCCTCCCCGAGACTTTCTCTTCTTCCTCTGCCTGCAACCCACCTCCTTATGCCTCTCCCATCACCACCCCACCTCATACCAAGTCCGGCTTATAATTTGGTCTGGCACCCATGGCTAACTCCCCCTCCCCGTCCAACAGTTTCGCCTTCACAAGGTGCCTGGCGACACAGGAATAGTCCAGTTGCACGTCCCTTTTTCTCTATCTGACCTCTCCCAAATCGGTCAATGTCTAGGCTCTCCCCTCAGACACCACCAAGTATATATATATAAGAATTCCAATACTTAACCCAGTCTTATATCTCACCTGGAGTGACTTAAATGTCATCCTTACTTCTACTCTCACCCCAGAAGAATGAGAATGGGTTTGGACCCTAGTTCAGTCTTACACAGATGATTGCTGGCACCTTGAGCCTGGCCTTCGGGAAGGTGCCAGGGCAGCACCCTGAGAAGACCCCCAATAGGACTACCAGACAGGAACCCCTGGCATTGCCAGCTGAGATTACATGATCTCCTGTCTAGTTGAAGGGCTTCAAAAGGCAGCATATAAGGCTGTCAATTACGACAAACTAAAAGAGACCACTTGTAACAAAGATGAAAATTCTGCTCAGTTTATGGCCCATCTAGCTGCTGCCCTCAGGCAATATAGAGCATTAGAACCTGAAGGGCCTGAAGGCTACCATATTCTTAACATGCATTTTATCACCTTATCAGCCCCTGACATTACAAAAAGCTACAGAAATTAGAGTCTGGCCCTCAAACGCCACAACAGGAACTAATCAACCTCGCCTTCAAGGTGTTCAACAATAGGGAAGAAGGAAAACTGCAGATGTTTGCTTCTGCTGTAAAACAAACACCAGCCACACCACAGGCCCCAAAAAACTTCAAAGCACCCAGACTGCAGCGTCCAGCTGCCCCTCTGGACCTTGCTTCAAGTGTAAAAAACCTGGCCACTGGGCCAAGGAATGCCTGCAGCCCAGGCTTCCTCCTACGCCCTGCCCCGTCTGTGCAGGCCCCCGCTGAAGTCAGACTGTCCAACTCATATCGCTGACCCCAGAGCTCCTGGAGCTCCAACCGGAAGCTCCCTGACCAAGCCATTCCCAGATCTCCTCGGTTTGGTGGCTGAAGACTGATGCTTCCCAAACATCTTGCAGGCTTCTTGGATCATCGCAGACCCCGAACTTCAGGTGACTCCTATGGTGGAAGGTAAGTCCATCCCCTCGTTAATTGATACGGGGACACCCACTCCACGCTGCCTTCTTTTCAAGGACCTACCTCCTTGGCCTCCAAAACTGTTATGGGAATTCATGGCAAGGCTTCCAGGCCCCTCAGAACTCCCCAAGTCTGGTTTCAATTAGGCCAGCATTCCTTTCCATTCTTTCCTATTTATCCCCACCTGTCCAGTTCCCCTGTTAGGCGGAGATGTCTTAAAAAATTGTCTGCTTTTTTATTCCTGGGCTACAGCCACACCTCATTGCCGCCCTCCTCCCCAAACCTGTACCTCCCTCAGTAACTCCCCTTATGTCCCGCTACCTTAACCCTAGGGTTTGGGACACCACTTCCCCATTTCTTGCTAAAGGTCACTCACCCCTTATCATCCCCTTCAAACCTAATCACCCTTACTCCATCCAGTGACAGCACCCCATCCCTACACAAATCCTAAAAGGCCTAAAACCTCTTATTACTCACTGTGACATGGCCTTTTAGATCCCACTAACTTTCCCTACAACACCCCCATCTTACCCATCCAAAAGCTGGACAAGTCCTACAGATTAGTCCAAGACCTTCGCCATATCAATCAGATCGTGCTTCCCATCCATTCTGTAGTGCCAAACCCCTATCTTCTCTTGTCCTCCATTCCTCCTACCACCACCCATTATTCTGGACCTCAAAGATACCTTCTTTGCTATCCCCTTGTACCACTCTTCTCAACCACTTTTTTCCTTTACTTGGATTGACCCCAACACCCACCAGTCCCAGCAGTTAGCCTTGGCCTCCTTCCCTCCCTACCACCATACAGTCTGACAATGGACTGGCTTTCATTAGCCAGGTCACCCAAGCAGCTTCCCAGGTGCTTGGCATCCAGTGGAATCTCCACACCCCATACCACCCTCAGTCCTCAGGAAAGGTAGAAAGGGCCAATGGCCTTTTAAAAACACATCTCACCAAACTTACCCTCCAGCTCAAAAAGGACTGGACCATCCTCCTACCCCTTGCACTCCTTTGGATTCCAGCTACACCCTGAGAACCCCTAGGTACAGCCCATTTGGACTCCTATATGGCTGTACCTTTCTGCTTGGACCAGACCTTATCCCAAATACCATCCCTCTTGGAGGCTATCTTCCAGTCCTCTAACAGATTAAACATGAAATCTTCCAGGTTGCTAATTTTCTCTTAACAACTCCAGATACCCAGTCATATGAAGACACCCTAGATTGATGGTCAGTTCTAATGAAAAGCCTAACCCCTCTGTCTCTACAACCTCAGTGGACAGGCCCCTTTCTGGTCATCTACAGCACCCCAACTGCTGTCCAATTGCAAGAGCCCCCCGGGGAGTACACCACTCCAGGGTAAAGCTGTGTCCACCGGATAAGCAGCCTGACTCTTCCACCTCTTCTTGGAAGTTGCAAGGACTCTCCCAACTTCTCTAAAACTTACCCGAATTCCTGAAGAGAATTAAATGCCCTGGTCCTGCCTACCTTGCTGCTTCACCCTCTTCCTCCACTGTTTGCCAAGAAATTTCCTGATTCCACCCCCAGGCTACCACCCTTAACTCTCTTCTAGAGTGGATAGATGACCTTGTTTTCTAAGGCACCCTGTGTGTCTTCTCCCCCAATGAAGTACAACTGTTTACCTTCCCCCTCATTGTTTGACTGTCTATTCCTCCTGCTCCCTTGGCTGCCCCACATTGCTGCACCTCCCCTTCCTATTAGTGCCATCTACCTCTACAAAACCCTTAACTTAACCCATTCTTTGCTGAACCAATCAAACCCAACCCTAGCAAAAGTTTGCTGGCTTTGCAACTCTGTCAGCTATAACTTATGTTGCCACTCCTGTACCTGCAAAGGCTTGGGTTCTTACTCACCTAACCTATCACCCTCACTATGAAGGAAAACGGCCCTTCCAACTCTTAAATATGCAGCCACTAGCCGAGTTCTCCATCACTGACATGACTAAACATACCCTGACAGGACACACCGTACAGATTCTTCGCTCCTACATTTCTAACCTCACTCCATACACAGGTGATAACAAACCCATACACGGTTCTGTAACCACAAATACTGTTTTAACTTCTCAGGCCCCTTTATGCTTCCATCACAATCGATCCTCAGGCCTACCTCTTGGCCACCTACTACCCATCAGTGCAACTTTACCTTACAACTCCAAGCCCCAACTGACTATCAGAACTTTCTGGTAACCCAGACTGCTTCATTTAGCCAACCTGTCTTCTTTATAGGACCCCTAAAAGTCAGTACCACCTCTTTGCTTAACAAACAGTCAGGGTTTTTGTTGGCAGACATACTCCTTGCATGACTATTCACCCCCAGACCCATTGCAACATAGGTCCCACAACTAATGAGTGCCTTCTTATACCCACTTTTAGCCACTCCTCTGAATGGCTCCTAGTAGAAACAAAACAGTACCTCCTCCAGTGGGAAAACAAAACAAATGGAGCCATTCACTTTACCCCAACAACCGCTTTCCAGCCTCTCACTGGGGCCATCTTAGCAGGAACCCTGGGCGTATGGGAACATGAAAATAATAACCTCACACACCTCTTCAAAATACACAATCAGTTCTGTTTATCTAGCCAAGCAATATTTTTCTTATGCAGGACCTCAGCTTACCTCTGCCTCCCCACTAACTGGACTGGCATCTGCACCCTAGTCTTTCTAAGCCCCAAAATAGACATTGCCCCAGGGAACCAAAAGTTACTAGTCCCCATTAAAGCCCAGGTTCATCAGCTCAGAGCCACACAGCTAGTACCCCTGGTAACCACTAGGAATTGCAACTGCTACAGGGACAGGAATAGCAGGGCTGTCCACATCCTTGTCTTACTATCATGCTCTTTCTAAAGATCTGTCAGACAATCTAGAAGATATAGCAAAATCCATCCTTGCGCTCCAATCTCAGATAGATTCTTTAGCAGAAGTTACACTTTAAAACCATCGAGGTTAGACCTCCTCACTGCCAAAAAAAGCAGGCTATCTACCTTTCCAGGAGAAGAGTGCTGTTTTTACACTAACCAGTCTGGCCTGGTACGAGATGCCACCTGATGGTTAACTGAAAATGCCTCTAAAATTGGGCAATGCATTTCAGACTCCTGGAGGAATCTTTGGAGCTGGGCACCATGGTTCCTTCCGCTAGCTGGCTCCCTTGTTTCTATCATCCTCCTTCTCTTATTTGGACCCTCTCTTCCAACTGGTTTCTCAGTTGAATAAGGACAGCTTGGAGGATAGAAGCAGGATGGAGTTGGTTAGGTCAGATTTCTTTTACTGTCTGAGTCAGAATTTTGCAATGGTAGTTTCGAAAGCTGCTTACTACCCCATTTGAAAGTACCTCATACACTCATGGTGAAATCATAACCTTAATTGAGGCCTCTTGGTTTCACCTGTGAGGTTACTTTTGATAAAGCCAAAGAGAAGAAAGAGAAGACAGGAGACAAACTGTTTGGAAAGCTTAGCCTTCTCTCTTAATGAGTAAAGATTTTTGCCTTGTTTTAAAACTTTTGAGTCCTAATTTTGGCAAAATAAATAACTTATGGTAATCTGTAATTGTATTTTGTAATATTAAGTGTTTTAAACCTCTAATATTTAACAGCCTTCCCCAAATCAAACTTCAGTTTCAAAATTGTCTCTTTTGACCCCTAGCTTTTGAATGCTACAGAAGGCCCCTGAAGCATCCAGAAGAGAGATAAACAGAATTATTTAACATGTTTAGGTACATGGGATTGACCAAATGATGTTTAATAATTTTCAGGTTGTGTTTTAATGAATAATATTAATATATGTTCCAAAATTGTATGGGATTTCTAAAATTCTAATGTCTGAGTATATGCTAGCAATCGTAATTGAGGTTACTATGTTATTATAAACTACAGAAATAATCAAATTTCTTTGTCAGTTGTATTCTTGACTGTAACTACCTTGGACATTTCACCATTCACAATTCTTGTCTTGTTTTAATTATCTTTAAAGGATGATTTAGAGTCAGCTATGTATAGGATTTTGACACATGCTCTCAAATTGTGTATGATGACTTTGGAGATTATGGAATAAAAAGAAAATGTACAGGATTCATGAAGAGCTAAAATGTTCATGAATATCAAGCAAAACAAGTATCTTCTCCATGCTAAATATTCTTACACATTTATCTTGATTGTCATGAATAACATTGCCAGGTAAAATACAGGACACTAGTTCAATTTGAATTTCAGATTAACAACAAATTGCTTTTTAGTATAAATATATTTCATGCAATATCTGGGACCTACTTTTTAACTACAAAAACTATCAAATTATCAAATTTAACTAGTCCTAAAAAGTAAATTTGTATTAAAAATAGTTTGTTGGTTATATCTGAAATTCAGATTTATGTGGCCTATAGTTTTATTTGCAAAATCTTGCAATTCTAGTCATGAACAACATTGAAGATGTTGTAAGTGAATAATCCCAATTTCACAGTTGATGAAACTGAATGAAACAGAGAGAGAAATTTCCCAAAGTCACATAATTGAAAAAAAGGACAGAGACGTGATCTGAACCCAGATTTGATTCATTGTCACCTCTTTAGTCTCAGTAACCAAGAGCAGTGTTGAGAAAATGATAGCAAGGTGATGGAGGGATATTTGTGGAGCTGAGGATGGCACCAGCCACCCCCATCTTCCCTCCACAAATATAACTGGGCACTGCAGAGGCAACCTGCTCACCCCTGTGCAGGCTGCCCCAACACATCTCTGCATGGAAAAAACAGCTCCATACTTCATGTTTGTTTCAATTTTTGAACTTGCTGAGACCTGTCTGACCCATCACTTGCCTTTCATTGTGGCTGTGTTCTTCGAGGTCTTACATCCAGCCTGCCCTTTAGATCTCACTAATACCTGGCAGGCCACCTCCATTGTGGCTTCTTGATAGCATGGGAAGAAGAAAGTAAATGAGAGACCCCAAGAGTGGGCTAGCTGGCTGCTGGCTGTTGAGACATACCCAGCAGGGGTTAATAGTATGAATACTAATACAAAGAATAGCTACCATTCATTAATACTTGATAGTATTAATACAAACAGCAGTTTCCCCAAGCTTGCACTGCTGAATCTTTTATGTACATCGTTACATGTAATCCTCTCAGTAGTCCTAGCAGAGGATGCTATTATCCTCATTGTACAGGTTTAGGAAAGTAGCAACTTTCCCAGAATCATCCATCAGAGCCAAAATTCCTGTATAATTTGGTCTGCCCCCAAATCTTGGCTCGTACCTATGATATACAGCTTTGTCAGCTGTCCCAGAATGTCAGGAAAGAACCCAGAGGCTGTGGCTGCTGCTGCTCACAGCTACTCCAGCTTCCTTGTACTTCAGAGAGCACAAGGAAGGTCAGGAATTTAAATGAGCCCCTCTCTGCCTGGGCTTGCCATCCCTGCATGTGAAGAGGTTGCTGAAGAGAAGCAGTCCTCACTCGTGTCATTGCATTTTTTTCTCTCTTTTCTAATTAACCATAGGTGCCATGAATAGAAAGGTGCCTCTTTTTAAAAATGATTTACTAGTTTCCAAAATACGCTGTCCTCTAGGATAGGTTTTGTACCTCTTGCTGCACCCAGGGTGGATAATAAGATATTATTCGGATTTTTACTTAGTGAACAAAGCAAATTCAATTTACTTATAAACAAGTTCCGCAGCTGTTGTAATTCCTTGGCAATTAAAGCACAAGATGAAACTTGTGTTCTGTCATGCCAAAGACTCCAGGATGAGTCACTCTAACTCCATATCAAATCAGGAAATAAGCATAAATGTTGTATTAAGAATGCAACAAGAATTTAATTAGGTTCATCCTCTTATTTAAGAGATTGGAAACTTTTCATCAGGAAAGTGCCATGGAAAGGGAAGTCCAAGGAATAAGAGATAGTGTTCAAGGAATTACTGACATTAACATAGGATTTCCTAAAATTTATAGCTGTATTTTGAGGGAGTGTTTAGGAATAAATCTTTCCATTTATGAATGTTTGTTGTCATGGTTAAACTTATAAAGTGTCAAAAACCCATTTTAGAAAAGGTTGGTCCAGACCCTTGATACTCAGTGTGGTCCGGGAACCAGTAGTATTGATGTCACCTGGGAGCTTATTAGACTCTCGGGCCTCAGCGCAGGACTGCTGAATCAGAATCTCCATTTTAACAAAATCCCCAGGTGATTTCTATGCAGTGGTCTAGACTGGCAGATAAGAGCAGCTGGGAGTTTTGGTGGCCAGTGGAACCTGAAGTGATCCTGAGGCTCATCCTGAAAGAAGTTACTGGGAAGGCAAATGGAACAGGCAGTCTTCCTTTGGAGTGCGTGTCCTGCAGCAAAAGGGTAGGTGGCACTTCGAGCTGTGCAGGTGACTGATAACTGTGGCAGCAATACGTCCTTTTATTGAATCCATTGTGCTCAGTGAGGGAAGCCTTGTGAAATGATTTAACCAACCTCTGCAGATTCGCTGCCCTATATGGTCTCAGATTCTGCAAATCAGAGGACAGTAGGTTTTCAGGGCTCTATTAAGCCTCTTCTTTGTATTGAATCACAGATGATTTCATGTTTATCAGCGATTTCCTCATTCCAAGCCCTTTGGCCTCATATTTTCTAGAATGTCCTAAATGGCTCCGGGATATTAACAAAAG